CAAAATGCAAAAGGTCAAATAATATAAGACACAAGATGACGTGTTCAAGTTTATTTCAGTTAAGCCCCTCGTCCTGGTAAAGCCTTCAACTATTATAATATTATTTTCTTAAGTTTTTTCCTAGAAACCACCTTAACAATAGGGTAACTATACGGAAACCACCTTTCACTTTTAATTTATACATAAACCGCCTTTGAAGTAGGTTTTTGTTGCAATCAACCACCTCCTAGTCAAATTTGTAGTTAAGCTTAAAAATTCAAGTTCAAGGTATGTGAGTTGTAGCCTAACAAGACCTAAACACTAAAAAAATGAGTCATGTACAACACTCAATGCGAGTTTTTTAACGGTAATTTTGGGTTTTAAGTGAAGAATTTGACCGGGAGGTGGTTGATTGCAACAAAAACCAACTTCAAAGGCGGTTTATGTATAAATTGAGAATGAAAGGTGGTTTCCGTATAATTACGATATTTCTATGGTGGCTTCTAGTGGGGTAAAAACACTATAATTAGACTACCTGACCCAATCTTACCTCCAAGGCTTACTACTGCTAACATCTAATGAAGAACTCATTTTTTTTACTCTTGTTCATCAATTTCAACATTTATAATCAGTTGTACGTACTTCAACGCACCTAATCAGCCCCAACAAAAACCGCATTTTAAATGCAAGTAAACTAAGCGTAAGAAATCTTTAATACTAGCACATTTCTGCAAGGATGATGCTAAATACCTTGAAGATAATCATCCTGCAATTCGAGAAAGTTAAACTCCGTTTAATACTCTATGAAACTACAGTAATGGGCTACTGAACAGTGTATGTAGGGTTTTAGCCGGCAACTGACAGGATCAATCACAAGGTCATCTAATTCCAAAGGGGTTTATGCGGATGAAATTACCGCGAGAGACTGAAGGAAGTGGTCCTGAGCGAGGGAACCGAGGCCATGGACACAGAGAGTGGCGACCAAAGGGACCAGCTGGGACCCGACGGAGGGGTCGCCTTTGCCCTTGAGCAGGGTTTCGGTGCAGGCGACGAAGCCGCCCCAGTTCTCAAGGATCTCGCCGAAGGATTCTTCAGCTAGCGAGTCCATGATCGTTAGACACCTAAGAGGGCTACGGAGGAGGTCGGAAAATTCGTGTTTGGGACTTCAATTAGTAGGGCTATTTGAATTTTCTGCAGATTGGCTTTAGTAGGTCGGTCCCGAATAAGATTTGGAGGCTGAATTCGTTGTAAATAGGATGGAATGGATCACTGGAGAGAGAAGTCGGCGGCTGGAGGAGGCCATGGCGGCGTCCGCGGGGGGTAGCTTGGTGACAAGAGGAGCGGGGTTTTTCCCCTTGTGTTTGGGCCCTTTACTAATAATGGGCAAGGCAAGTATGACGTGGGACTCCTAACTTAAAGGGGCTGTTTGTTTGGGCTAACAAGCGGGGAAAATGAGTTTTGCAAAACTGACCCAGCCCATTTCTTATAGTTTCCTTCACTTTTTTTTAGGTTTGGTTCGCAAAAACGAAAGAAGGGAAGAGGGAGAAAACTGGCATTCAAAGGAAAATTTGGGGCCAATTGTTTTCCGCCCTAAGTCCTCGATTTTGCAGAAAACTCGCGGAAAGTGAAGAGGAGGGAAAGTTTAGAGTTCCCGCCTCCTCAATCCCGTCACCGCTCCCCCTCTCTCTCTCTCGCCTCCCTCATTCTCTTGCCCCTCCCGCTTCGCATAGACGAATGAAACCAACGAAGCCGACGAACAAGTAAATGCCCTAATTTTGTTCATAATTTTGGCTCATTCTCGTATATAATCATAGATTCATGGATCTCTATGGCCTAATTTACTTTCTAGGGAATTATTGATGGGTTTTTTTATGGATTTATATGTGAGATTTTTGTGAAATTTTAAGACTTTTCTTCAAATTTATGGGAATTTCTTATGGGTTTCGCATGTAGCAGCATCACAAAGAGATCATCACAAAGAGATCCAAGTTCAATTTTAATGTTTCCTATTCTTATGGGTTTCGCATGATGGATCTCTCTGTAACTCAGCTTGAAGTCTAAGCTTATGAAGTCTAAGCTAGTTGTTAACGTTTCCTATTTTAATGTTTCCTATTTTACGGGTTGAAGTCTAAGCTTGAAGTCTCAGCATCATAAATAGATCCAAGTTCAATTTTAATGTTTCCTATTTTATGTGTTTCTTCAATTTTCCCATTTTGAGAGCTTATGAAGTCTAAGCTAAACTTGCCTCATGATATATGTATATGTTATGTATATAATTTTTTAGTAACTCAGCTTTTGTTTTATCAACATAGAACTGAAAATAAGGTGCAACTACAAAGCAGTTAAAAAATGTCTTAGTAGTCGACTATGAAGCTTAGTAGTCGACTACATTGAGTCTATTCGGACTCTGTGAAGTCACTCTGTGAAGTCAAGAAACAAGCTCAGTAGTCGACTACTATGCTTATTAGTCGACTACACTGTACATATGTAGTTTCTGGATATTTGACTAAGGATATTATAGTCGACTACTAAAAGAATTAGTCGACTACAAATATTAATGCTCATATAATACACATAGTAAATAAATTGTTATCATCAAAATTATATATTAGGGTCAAGATATCCAACACTAATTGCAACCTGACATGTTCAACTCTTCATTGATATCATTTGCATTTAATGTTGGTATCTACTTTAATATGACACTTGTATTTTAGATGGATGGTGATCTCGACGAAGAGACTGTAGTTAATATGTGTTCGGGTGCTGCACTATCTGTTTTAGTTATGATTATGACATTCATGAGGAGAATGCAAAGTAGACGTAGATCTATACGTGCAGGTCCTAGTGAGGAGAAAATAAAGCAATATCAAAATAGAAAACAACACATGGACCGGATATATAATGGATTTGGTGATAGTTGTGTGAACTATGTTAGAATGTGTAGTGGTGCTTTTATGAAGCTTACAGAGATCATGAGGAAGAATGATTTATTACGAGACTCAAGACATGTCACAGTGGAGGAGCAACTTGCTATGACTTTGAATATATTAGGGCATAAAACTAAAAATCGAAGTATTAGGTCACATTTTATTAGATCTGGCAAGACTATGAATAGGTATTTCAACAAAGTGTTGGAAGCAATTTGCCACATACGACCATGCTTTTTGAGATAAGCACGGAATAAAGTTCCACATGAGATCCTTAGCAACCCTCTATACTATCCTTATTTCAAGGTATTCTCTCCTTAATTTGTGATTAAAAGCTGAGATCCTTAGCAACCCTCTATACTATCCTTATTTCAAGGTATTCTCTCCTTAATTTGTGATTAAAAGCATGTTTATTTAATTTAATAAAAAACTATCCTTATTTCAAGGTATTCTCTCCTTAATTTGTGATTAAAAGCATGTTTATTTAATTTAATAAAAAATAATTAATAGTAACTTTTTGTTCTCTAGGATTGTATTGGTATGATAGATGGGACACATGTTAAAGTTATGCTACCTGCTAGTCTTCAACCACGATTTCGTGGTCGAAAATGTGTTACACAAAATGTTTTAGCGGCTTGTACTCCAAACAAGTTGTTCACTTACATATTAGCAGGGTGGGAAGGTTCTGCAAATAACTATAGAGTCCTTCAAGATGCATTGTCTAGGCCCCAACCTCATGGCTTGAAAGTATATGACGGTAATTTCATCAAATTTTTAATTTTAAGTAATTACTTCAATTAATAAATGATATTCAATAAAAATTTAACAAATTCTAATAAACACTTTCACGTCATGCAAATTATAGGGAAGTATTACTTGTGTGATGCGGGATACACGACCATGTCGGGTTTCATCTCCCCGTATCGTGGTGTTCGTTACCATTTGAAGGAACAAATAGGAAGAACACCTAAAAATAAAAGGGAATTATTCAATCTTAGACATTCTTCTTTAAGGTCTAAGATTGAAGCTACATTTGGTTGTTTGAAGAATCATTTCAAAATTCTCACCGTAATGCCTCATTACCCTTTTCGCGCGCAAGTGGATATCGTATTAGCTTGCGCAGTTCTTCACAATTATATTGTAATGGTTGACCCGGATGATGATATATTCAATGAGACCGTTGATATCGAAGATAATGAAGAGGATGTATCTAATAAAGATGAAAATAATATTATTGATTTCTCCTAACCTCAAACTCAAAGGGAGCAAACACAATCAAGAAACGTATGGAAGGATCGTAGAAGTCAAATAGCATAGGAAATGTGGGTTGATTATTGTGAAAAATATAAGGGAGGGAATAGTAATAAAATAGGCATATGACGCTATGTGATAGTGATGTTGTCTTATGTTATGAATTATTCTATTTTCATGGACTTCATTTTATGATGGCGTGTAAAACTATGTAATGTTAATTTAGAATCATTTGTATGCTACTATTATGTGTTGTATGGAATTTTCTCTTAGGACACACTTTCTTTACTCAACTTACATTTATTTTTTGCATTTCTATATAACTATTTTCTAGGTATGACCGACAACTTCAATTGTGAGGAACTTGTTAAGGTCAAAGGAAAGAGTACGGCATCAAATTCATCGCCTAGAACCCTAAGGAATTCATCAATCCCTTGTGGGTTCAACCTGGGATTTATGCATTATCACTCTTCACAAGTTGGCCAAGGTCCTAATTTTTGGAATAATTTTTAAATATAAGATCCTAACTTTTGGGGAATTGGCCAACAATCACCAATGTTATTCATGAACATGTTAAATGCTCCTCCAACTTTACAACTGTTATGGGATGTTCCCTGTTACTTACAAATATGTTATCCCGAGAATGGACCCAGTCGAGCCGGCGTCGCTCCCTAAAGACGACTCGAAAGGCGGACTCAGTCGGGCGAAAGATTGCTGCTCAACAACAGGCCGACACTTCCCCCGGAGGTGACTTACAACATTACTTCCCAGCATTATTTAACCATCTATGGTCATTATTACGACTCCACGTCACCCGCAGACAAGCCTCAACAATTACTGATTCCCCCATGCCATACAAGTGACTCCACGTCACCCGCAGATAAGCCTCAACGACTGTTGATTTCCCATGCCACAGAAGTGACTCCATATCACCCGCTGACAAGCCTCAACGGTTGCTGATTCCCCATATCACTGAAGTGACCCGTCATCACTCATCAGTCGACACGAATATGGCAGAGGATGACTCAGCCTCCGGCTTACCTCTCGCCGTCAACAGTTGCCGCCTCCTCACTAAGTACCTATTCTGCCCTTGGCATCCTCTATAAATACAGACGCTATAAATCCTGAGAAGAGGTTCGGTCTTTCCATCACTACCTAAAAAAAATTCTCTAGTTACATATTAGAAGAGGATACTATTCCTCTATTACTGGACCAAGTACACTAGCTGACTTGATCGTCGGAGGTACCACAGGGGAAACAGGCCCCGTACTCCCGCGATTCTTGTGTGTTCTGGTGATTCGCTCACCCCGAGCTCTGAGAACCAGGCATAAAGTCAAAGAAGGAAAGCGGCCCTTCATCCCTCTCGACGATCCAGCAACTCTGTAAACCCCCATCGATTGTTTGTTCACGAGCATCAACAGTTTGGCGCCCATCGTAGGGCTACTTTCCTCTTTTTGAGAAGAAATGTTGAGTTCTGAGCGAGGAGTGAACCAATCTCCTATAAGGGGACCTCCAAACTATGTGACCCAGGGTCAATTGGAGCAGACGGTAGACAGACACTCTTCATCTCTGAGAAAGCAGTTTACCATCCTGACTAATGAACCCCTCTAGCGAATCCCCCAGTAGCCACACGCCGATGAACAACTTCCACCATTTGAAGACCGGCGGTCAGAAACTCACACCCATGAAGTGTCGCAGGACACACCGCGGCCTCCTACTAACCACCACGAACGGGCGAAAAACCACCCCAAGCAACTAAACAATAACGATAAAACCCCAGTCCTAGCCATTCGGGGGGACGTGCCAAAGGAAAGATTCTCAGAAAACCCCGCTGCCGCGACTCCTCAACTTCATCAACCACTGCAAGGGCCTCCGGCTACGACCGAGGGTACAAACCAATTTTTGATACTATCGAAGGAAATACTTTGTTATCTGACGAGATAATGGAATTCCTGTTTGAGAAATTTAAGATGCCTCACCTAGAGACGTACTCAGGCGAGGGAGATCCTTCGGAGCATGTTCAAAATTATTTTGATATAATGAGCATGCTTCAATTATCCGAAGTAGTTCTATGTCGATGCTTCCCCATCACCCTCAAAGGAAGTGCTAAGCTCTGGTGGAATGCTCTGGAGAAGAGATCCATCAACAGTTTTAAACAACTCAGCCGTAAGTTCATTCATCATTTTCTGGCGGAC